GTCTTAAAACATGGTCAAGGAATAGCAGTGCTCGAGATGAGATGGTGATGCTCATTACACCTGACAGAAGTGCTTTGCGAAGTACTTTTGTCTGGAGAACCGCTGTGCTGGTAATTTCTTCTGGAGACGAAACACGAACATCAGAATTGTCATCAGCTGACCGCCGGGCGATGCAGCATTGATCAAAGCAATTTTGGGAAAGTTGCTTGTTGCAAATTTGGAGAAGCAGGGGTTATGAACTGTAGCAGCTGGCCATGGTATCAGGGAAATTTGTTGCAGAGGATTTGGCGCTGAGCCGTATGAGCGTTTTCTGCATTCATTCGTTGATATAAATGGTGATCTGAGTGCCGAAATAATATTTGGCACAAAACAGGATGGTCGTTTGAAAATGGAAGCTTGGCGACGCAAATCAAAGTACTTTTTCCATGTATAAAAATCGCACAATTCGTTTCCTGTAGAATGCTCTCTTAGGTTAACTTTCACAAAATTCAATGCCCGGTTTTATCGTGGGAAAGCTGTATTTTTGCCAAATTTCGTCCAGAGTTTCTGGAATTCACATGTTCAATCTTAAAATGTTTGTCGTCACTTTTAACTTGTTGAATTTAATATAATACAGTTTTTATGCGTTTTTTGCATCTATACAATGCAGAAACTTATATATCTGTATCGATTTTTATCCGTTCCGGTGATATCTGATTAATATTTCGTATTTAATAATATTTTATTAACTAGGTTTAGGCAGTCTTTTAAAGTTCAAACATTGGGTAGTTATTGTGAAGTTTAGTTGGAAATATTGAAGTTTGAAACATATACCATGCCTACTGAGATTAAAATGCTTTGGACCGTTAAATTATATACATTTTAACTCAACGCTATGTCTGAATCTAAATTACTATTAAGGTACCAAGAAGTTCAACTCATTTCTATCTTGATTTTCAAATAATGCTTAAAAATGACAAAACTGTTCAGGACCTATGCAGCATGGCAGATACTTTTGGCCAAGTACTCCTACTGGGGCTATTTATGCCTGCATTTTGTCTTTTAGAATAAGGAAAATACGAAATTTATTACGACGAAATTTAATTTCAGCAATTTCCGATCCATGAAATATTAGTGTTTTATTTTTTGCAGTGAACTATGGGAACTGGATAATACATTGATTGCTGATCTACCGGCCGAATCGTGTAGCACAAATTACTTTGGCGCTGTATTGTTCGCCGATTTTGATGCTGATGGTACCATGGATATTGGCCTACCATGTTGTGCGGATGCGGCGTGCCGAAAAGTCCTTGTTATCAATATGTGGAATTATCATATTGGCGCATGGCAGGATTTCCATATCACAGGGCTCGAGGTTGGAGCCATTTGCTGTGGTTATGAAAGTACTGTTAAAAAATGAGAAACATCAAATTGAAAGAGCCAAAAACATAGCTTTTTTTTTATCTTAGAAGGCCTTTTTTAGTCTCCATTTCTCTCATAACCATCATCTTTTCCTTATCAAAAAATCGATCATTTTCTTAGTGAATTATTGCTTTTGGTAAGCATGCTATCACTGGGGCTATTTTCGAGTGTTTCCGCCTTTCATACAGAGTGAATGTGAAGAAAATTTTGATTTTTGAGAAGAATACAAATAAGTGTTGTAGAAATTTTAAAGATACAAACCGTGAATATTCCTGGCAAGGAGACTGGGACAGAACAGGGGCCTGGAATTTTCTGTGTGTTAAGTTTTTTGAGGGAAGTCAAGGAAGTTTTTAGTTCGTATGAAAACCCGCTCTCTTTCTCTGTCTTCCACTTTTGAAGGACCAAAATTATTTGCATCACAACCAAGAACTTTGTTTTCTACTGAAGCCAACTCATTTTAGTGATGTGATTATTTTTAGGGATCTGATTTGGTATCGAAAAAAGATGAAGGGAATGTTGTTTTTCGGGTTGGTGATTTTTCCCTGGATGGATACCCAGATTTGATAGCACTTGTCCGAGAGAAAACACAAAATCCAATGATTCTGGAGAATGTACCATGCACCGATTGCATATCAAATGCTTCAAGGTTTGCTTGTATTTTTTAAACTTTGTACTTGCTCTTCATTTTCGCGCATGGATTCGATTTCTTATACTGAGTAAATCGTTTTTTTTTTTGTGGTTTCTTGGCCCTGGCTTGTTGGGATTGCAAAGATTTGAACATTTGCGGTCAAGTGTTACTTGGTGATCGCCTGTTTTGGTTACTTCCCGGTAACACTTCTTTGTCAGAAACTGTGTGAGCGTTAACTTCAATTAACGTCAAAAAAATGTACCTTGACCAGTCGGCAAGAGGGAGTATTAGCTGCACGGAGCGGATACCA